ATTGTAACACGAAAATTATTGTTGCACCACTTCTGAGCATAACTTTCAAATTTAAAAAACCTATGAAAAGAAAATTCGAGACAAGTTTTTTTTTTAGATTAATAGACTCCCTTTTAAAAGCTGAATTGAATGGTGGTGGGTTTTTTAAAATTCAATGTGTGGATCACATAATATTTCAAAATTTTAACTTTTGAGTATAGATGATCTGCACTGTACAAATAGTAAAAGGATAATCCTAGTGAAATTTTCTGCTAAATTTTGTGCTGCTAAAAACAAAAAATTCTCAATAAAAAAATGAATGAAGGTATTTTTTCCTTGCACTATTATAAAAATATATAATAATGGTAAAAGGATTTTACATCATAATTTATTATTCACTTTATAATGAAACAATGATTATCTAAATTCTATAAAGGTAAATAAATATTTTACAAAATAAACTTTATTAAGACATCATCTAATTAAATAATTTTATTTTTTATTTCTTTACAATAACCAGGGGGTAAGCATTATATTATAAATTAACTTTTACAACACAAAATAAACTTTATTAAAACATTATCTAATTAAATAATTTTATTTTTTATTTCATAGAGTGTAAGTATTATATTATAAATTAACTTTTACAACACAAAATAAACTTTATTAAAACATCATCTAAATTAAATAATTTTATTTTTTATTTCATAGATGGTAAATATTATATTATAAATTAACTTTTACAACACAAAATAAATTTATTAAAACATCATCTAATTAAATAATTTGTTTTTTTATTTCATAGATTGTAAGTATTATATTATAAATTAACTTTTACAACACAAAATAAACATATAATTAAATAATTTTATTTTTTATTTATAGATAGTAAGTATTATATTATAATTTAATTTTTACAACACAAAATAAACATCATATAATTAAATAAATTTATTTTTTATTTCATAGAGAGTATGTATTATATTATAATTTAACTTTTACAACACAAAATAAACATCATATAATTAAATAATTTGTTTTTTTATTTCTTTATAATAACCAGTTGGTAAGTATTATATTATAATTTAACTTTTACAACACAAAATAAACATCTTCTAATTAAATAATTTTATTTTTTATTTCATAGAGTGTAAGTATTGTATTATAATTTAACTTTTACAAAACAAAATAAACATTATCTAATTAAATAATTTGTTTTTTTATTTCTTTATAATAACCAGGGGAATTTTTGAAAAATAAAAAAATTTGTCAAAATAATATGGGATGGTGGAAGTATTTCTTCAAACATGATGAATTTCAAAACTTGGAATGACCCACATGCATGGCTTTACCTACATAATCCATGCAAACATTCCTGACTCCCATCATTGTATAATTTGGTCATGAAGTATCATTGTAACCATCAAATGGAGAACTGTGCCCTAAAGGGTCCCCTCAGTCACTATCTGACAAAACCAAACCTGTTAAGATTCATCTATCATCATGTAAAGAAGACAGAATGTCATCTCATACCATCTCAAGATGCTGCTGATATGGAATGGCCACATAAAATTTTCAATATGTGACATTCATAGGACTTATGTAAGGCTCTGAATGAATTGAATTGAATTGAATTTTAGAGTGATTTGATTTGATTTGTAGTCAACTTGATTTGAACCAAATTCAAAAAAACTGAATTTGATTTGATTTATGACTCAATTCAAATCAATTCAAATCAAACTAGATTCCTAAATTTTTCTTAATGTCATATTAAATACAGTGAATCTAATGTAGTGTACCTCAATTTAATGGATGATAACAGATTAAGAATAATAAAAATAATTTTATTATTTGCAATATAATGGATTTCTTCATATAGTCGCAATGGATAGATGGGACACATAATAATAATAAGAAAAATTTTATATGTTTTTATATGTGAAGCAAAAATTTTAAAAATCCATTACAACAAGAATTTAATTATTATAGTCCGCCGTGACAAGGTTTGAATAATAATGGATTTTTGGAAAATGTTTTCTAATTACCCAAACTACAGTATCTGCTTAAACCAAGATTGTGTATATTTTAAATTTTTTAATTGATAAAGGATATTATTTAGTGATGGTAGCAAAACTGTTTTTGAAAAAAAGGTAGGTTCATCCAATACATATAATAAGTATCTAAATCAATCTACTTTATTTTAAAAACTCACAATTTCAACCATTAAAATTAGTTTCATCATCAAAGTTTTAGGCCAATTAATTTCATCGATTTTGGCCCACTAAGCATAGTTTCGGCTACCATTACTAGTTCAAATCGAGTTGGGTTGAATCAGTTCAAATCAAATTATATATTTAACATTCGAATCAGGGTACAATTTGAATTTGATTCAATTTGATTTGAATTGATTTGAATCAATAATTAGGTATTCAATTTGATTTGAATCAGTTCGAATTTCATTGATTTGTTCGGAGCTTTAGTGCCCATTTCCCTGACAGATGTTTCCCTGCCACCATTATACACCAATGGGACAACTTAAACAGCTTAGCCGGCTAATAAAAGACTTAACAGACTTAAACATATTGGCTGGCTAATTAGATAACATAACCAGATATATTAATGGATAATGATAATGACATGATATGGTTATGGAAATATAATGTATTAGAAAATGTCTTGTCAGTATGACAGTATCAGAGAAACATTTGTTAGGGGATCAGGTTAGGCCCACATCAATGAATTTACAAATACTACAATCAATATTAATATATTAATACAAAAAAATCAACCAATCTTGGTGGTTTAGGAAACATATATTCTTTTTTTTTTGACATTTTTTTTATCTTAGTAATAGGTTAATTACATTATTCAATCGCCACATTCATTACCTTATCACTATAATGATGAAATAGCAGTTTGCAATAATGACATTCATTTACAAACAGTTTAAAAGCTTAGAATTCATTTAGGTCTGATATTACTGTCTGTACATGAGGACATCATATCTAAAATAGTAAAGTGAAACTTATTATCTTCCCCCAAAAGAGAGAGCTACACTTCAATTCCAACTCTGTATTTCTGTTTTAAATCAGCAATTTTGGGAAAATCTTAAACTCATACAAATAAGTGTACCAGATGAAGTTTCAACTCCTCAGCATGTTTTTCTTTGAATTATATTTATTGGAAAAAATCCTGATAATGCTAAAACATAAAACGGTATTTTGAACTGCATTATTGCAATTTAAGTCTCTTGGAAATATCTCTTAATCTTTGTAAGAACCTAAATTTTTTCTTACATAAATTTATTTTTAATTTTTTGCGAATTCCATACTTTTCATTATATTGCATAAATAGTTCATTAATGAGAATCATGGGTAGGGTTAACAGGAGATAAAAAATGCATTGGTTACAAATATTGCTTATTATTATAAGGCAAATATGCATTTTTTCCCTTATTATTTATTTATTTTTTTTTTAAAAAAAGAAAAAAAGTATGAAACATTCAGGAAATTCATCATGTCCATCAAAATTCAAATTATTGAGAAGCTTGTATATGTATAATGGGCTTGTTTGCAATTTCCTTTGGAAGAGTGATAGTGTAGTGTATAATGAGAAATTAGTTTCACCAGGTACTTGGTATAGTCAAGTGATCATTGAACCTGAAATATGGTTCAATGAAATTATTCTATTGATAAGATTCCATCAACTAATTTTCATAATAAATAGATAAGCATGTGAAAGAATTTTTTTATGATTTTGAATTGTTTCCTTGAGAATTTCTAGATCAACTATCAAAATAAAAGAATCAAAAAAAATTCCTAAATGATTTATATTGAATTTTTAATCCTAATTACAAAATGATTTAAAGTTTTCTTATATATATTAAAAGATTCTTAATTGCAATTTGGAATAATATTGTTATAAAGTTATTTAAATCTTAGAATTAGTGTTGAAAGTATATATATTAATAAAGAAAAATAATTAATTGAATTTAAATATTCATATTCTATGATTTGATGTGGAAAGCATGTTGCGAATTAGAAATTGTAAGTGGTATTCTGGTATTGACTTTTATGCCAGATGTGAGTGTTACTTTATGAGCATCTGTTTTAGAGCTCTCGGAATTGGATATAGAAGTCTGATTATTGTCATTAATTGTAATTAATTGGTTATTCTGAATATTTGGATTATATTATTTATCATTATCATTATCACTATTACTATCACTACAGCTTCAGTATTATTATCACTATTGGTATATTTGTAACTATTATCATTGTTTGAAATGATTTCAATATTACTATATTGAATTCATTTTCATTTTTTTTCATTTCATTATGAACTTGTTATATTACACAGTGTGTCTTGATTTAATGGATCGAGGTACAAGAATGGTTTAATAATAATAAGCTAAAACTATAATAGCATATTAAAATTCTTCTCGATATATTAATAACGAAATCAAATCATATTTTCGAATCAGTTCAAATCGAATCAAAGTATAATTTGGATTCGAATTTCATTGATTTGTTCGGATCCTTAATTAAATGATAAACTCTATTATTTTGGAGGATATTCTGCCAAGTCAGGAATTACAAACCAAACAATTTACCTCGCACAACTATCATAAATAGGAATACACAAGACACGAAAACGGTTTTTGATTGTGAAGAGATATGTATGTAGATATCTAGAGGTAAAATAATCTCTATTCGAATATTCTCAATATGTATAGAAATTAATCAATTTTTCATATGCATATACCGTTAGTTTTTTGAATATGAAATAAGAAAAAATATATTTTATTTGCTAAAATAAAATATAAAGATTAGTGATTATGCTGTGGTGAGGAGACAGTAGGGCTTGGATGAACATTCCGTAGAGGATGCGAACTGACCTGCTCTAATGTCCGCACTAGCAAACTCTTACTCACAATTACAATATTTCTCAGAGCCAAAATAAACGTAGAAGAGAGTTCACACACTGTAATGAATTTGGCAACAAAGGTATTTCCGCATAATCTAAATGAAAATTCCTCCCAAGTCCTTAACGAGAACATTCAAATGTATAACGTCAGCAGCGACCTGTATTTCCTCAACATCAAATTGATTCACCATCGGTCTACATGTTGTATCGATAAAACTTGCCTCGTCTAACGTTTCTCTCCAAAGCTTCACATAATTGTCATTTTTTTTAGTTTCGCTACAGTTGATACGGGAGGATTCAACATATCCAAGCTCGAAAATCTACTCTGCATTCTTTATCAACATCATAACGTTGGGCTTCTTCCCCATAAATATGATTAATATAACCATATGACTTTTGTGATAATATTTTATCAATTAACTCTTACATGCTCAAGCAGACATAGACATTTGGAAGGTTTTCCAAACTTGCTCAAAGTAATGGAGCAATAACAACTGTTATATATGTTCCCTTACTTTGTTGATTACAAGACGTACTAGTCTCAAATGCTGGATTACTCTAGATCTCTCCACTGGTTAAAATTTATATAAGTTACATCATTAAAAAAAAATACATTATGAAATTACTTACAGTACGCCTTGAATATATTCTACTATTTTGATAACTCAAGTTCGTTTTCTTTCCATGATTTATTATGGGTAAATGCTCCCCATATCTCTTGAAACATTCGTGTTGTTGAAATTCTCTGCACTTGAATATAATTGAATTAGGAGAACACATCTCATGTTTTCACGAGGCTCCTAATTATAAAAATAAATGTAAGTTTGACTTACTTAAGCCTAAATAATAACCATTCTTACAATAAATAGACGCCTCTGCCTCACCGCCAATCCTTTTAGTATCTCAAATTTTTCACTTAGCATCGGACTTGCTTTGAGATCCTTCCACATGAGCTCTGATTGGTTGATACTGTCCAGATTTGTCCTGAGAGAACCGTAAAGGTTCGTATCACTTCCTAACACAGGGTAATAGAAACATTATCCCTTAAACGGTTTTTCGGCTATTGATAGCCGAAATTTTTTTTCTGATATAAAAAATTTTTTCTAAGGGTATTACTTCCTAATACGAAAATGATCTTCGAGATTCAACAATTGATCTATAAATAAAAACCTGGTTGTTGTCCTTGTGGTTTTCGTAAAATTTTCTTTAAAAGTTGGTCGATTGACTGTTTTTACTTTGCTGATCGTTAAATTGACCAATAAGAATGATCGAAACTTTAATTTGTGTTACATTAAAGATACTCTGACCGTTTAAGGGATAATATTTTTTCAGCAAATTTAACTCTATCAGGATATGCTATAAAAACTCAGTGTACCTCAAGCTTGGATTTCAATATGTTCTATTTCTTCTTTTGGATGGTGTTTGGGTAATTTCCTGTCCTATATATTGGTTAGCCTCTAATCATGTTTATATTTTGAATTGTATTTTTAGATATTATACCATATTCAAAGCCTTTATTAAAAGCAACCCCATAATGCTTTTGTACCTGGCAACCATTTATGGCAGATATACCAGTATATTAGATTTGTGATCACAAAATCTTTTAGAGATGGTAATTATTTGCACATGCACAATCAGGATAATCTAATTATTAGTTATTATTGTTTTGACTGAATAGTCACGCACAGCTAGGAAAGAGCAGAACCCTTCAACTTCTGACGACATTGCTCTTCCAGGGCGGCACTCCCCAACCTTCAGCTATGACATACCAAAACTTGACTGAAAATCTACTGTAGTTTTATCACTTTATGCAATTATAAAAAAACCAATTTATTTGCTACTAACCTCTGGTAGAACTTCCAAGATTTTTTGTTCTTCGTTCTGTATTGGTTATTTTCATTAATGCTGAATTTACCACGCGATCTGCCAAAGTTCTGATGTCTTCATATCTGCTCAAATTGTTGCCATTCATTGCCAGATAGATTAATTAACACTCGGTAATTTTAATTTACCTTTATTGCCATCAATATTAATATCATCAAAGCCTAAAGATCATTGGAAGCATTAAAATATCAAGATCATTTATTGAATCATTTATTATAACTATATTACTTTTTAATTGGTAATATTGTCATTTAATATTCTACCTTGATGTCTAAGAAATAAATAATATAAAGTTAAAGATGCTGGGTGAAACTATCTAAACATTTAGGCCTACAAGACAAAACCAATTTAGGCTGTCAAACCTAGTTCAAAGTTTTAATTATATTAGTTTTTTCAGTATATACTGGAGATAGTAACAAAAGTTACATATATAGATTACATGACTGTAGCACAATGACTAATATTAATTTACTGTGGCACTGTTGTTTCAAAAAAATTTCTTCTCAAACAATTTAATTTAATGGAGCCTAAATAATTGTATTTTGGATTAGGTTATTAAAAGTTTTTTTTTTTTTATCAAGTATCCTTTCCTGAAAAAGGTTGAACTGGCCATCTCACCCAGAAGGTCACGATGCGATGGGAGGTTCAGAGTGTTTAGATGAGCTCTGAATTTGGAATTTGCATCCAAGTTCTTTGAGGAACTAGTTAAAGCCTCTCTTATGTTCACGGGTATTGCACCTTTTTGTCAAGCAACGATTGTGGTGTATTATTACACAGGACCTCGGAAAACATGTAAGTTCGACACGCTCTTGTAGCTCAAATTAATATAGTAATATTTCACTAGTTAAACATTCAAAAATCAATAGTTTTGTAGCGACGCGCCAAGAAAACAAACTTTTAAGGATAGAAAGGAGAAGTCAGAAACTGTCAAATGGTTTAAACGGATAACAACTCCAAGGCTTAAACCAGTAGGTTTTATTGAGATTTACATATATGGAGACGCGTTAAATGCTCACATTCTTCAAAATTTTAACTTGATACTGATCTCTTATTAATAGATTTGACACAGATTCTATAAAATTTCGGGGTCAATACACCAATAGTTTTATTTGATGAAGGGGTTACAATATAACACGTGCATAAACGTGTAAAGGATAGTTTTATTAAATCTGATACCCCAAGTTCAATATATCAGATTTGATACTTTATTTTTGTAAGAAAATTCAACATTTTGAAACCGGATTGGGAATTAATAATCAACGAAATATCAATCTGCTAAATTTTCTCATTTACATTTGCATGGTCTTAATATAGTGTTTGTACTCGTAATATTAGCAGAATCAATGATTTTGCTGCTTAATACACTTGAATAAAATTACTGTACAGTATTGAATATAAGTTTCGTAAATAATACAAGTACAAACACTAGCATTATTCGGATGATGCAATTATTTGTTTTGTCATAAAAAAAGAAATATATGTTAAATATTGATACCAACTGTTCTCATTGCCTCATGTGCAAAAGAAATATGGAAAACTAAAAACGATCTGTGATTTTAACGAATGTTTACTTGGAAAAAAATATGTATGCCTTTTAGAGATTGCTTTAAAAGTTTCTGGATTGGTATTAACCAGCATGAAATAATTATGAGAAGCTAAGAAGAAAAATGAAAGCAAAGAACGACTTGGTGAATTATTAAGATATTTTTTCTTCGTGAATAAATTTATTTTAAATATTTTCATATAAATTATTTGGTATTTTAACACTCTAAATTTAAAGCTCTGGACATAACACATATTACATTGTTCATGGGAGTGCAGGTCAGATATGTACTTATCACCGTTTAACAACTTATCACAAAACATTAAGGAACTAATAGATTTCTATCATCAGGTATATTGATATTTTAGATCAGTGTTGGAATTTGGTCAATGAAAATAGATATGATAATTGAAAAATTTTTAGTTGTTTTGACTGCTTGGCCATGACTCAATGCAAAATATACACAACTAAATCATATAATATCAATAATAACAATTTAATCAAATAATTAAACATAATACCTCAAATTACTTCTAAGAGTAGGTATAACATATATAAACAAACCAATAAAAAAAGTATATTTTTAATTGGAGAGATGAAACGCCAGCTTACCAACAAACAGTGACTATGATAAATTGATTAGATCCTTCCTTGAATGATAAATAGTATTGTTCATTCCGGGCATTTATGGGGTGTTTCTTAATAAGTGGTATGTGGAAAGTGCGGACTGTACTTTTTAGTACGGTACTCACCTTATATATACCTAATACTGTGTTGGAATATGAATTGCTATGTGTAAACTTGTAATTTTTTTTTTAGCATGCTCCTTTACCTTCATTACGGTACACATTTTCTATATATTCTTCAATAAGATTTAGATAGTTTTGCAAAAAAACTAATGTCAAAAAAATTTTTAAATCAAATTCATAGAGAAATTGTGTTTCATTATTTTATATTAAAAAGTTTATTATTAATGTTATATCTTTAGAAAAGAATATACGCAAACATAATAATATGTAATGATTAAAAGGCATTTATCTTAATCAACAATTAATTTAAAGGATATTTATTCGTATTTATTCTAATAAAAAAAAAATACAGAAATTTTCAACAAAGCAAAATCAAAAAATTCTCAAATACATTACAGAAAAATACACTTATAAATATATGCCTCTAACAATTTAAGAAATGGAAGCTGCCCCGTAGTTTTGAAGTCTATGGTTGAAGTCAATTGCTTGCAAAGTGTTGGTAAAAAACTGGTCAATTCATTCAATAGCGAAATTCTATCGTGGATCACGAATTAAGCATATCAATGGAATCAGCAAAACTTGAAGTTGAAAATGGCGGTGCTTTTATCTCTAAATTGCAAGTATTAAATTTTACGATTAATTAAAAATTAAAAATGGATATTAGAAGCTGTAACATAATATAATGGAAATAAAATATATTATTTTAGCATTGTTCTTAAAGATTAATTGATCAATTATCTGTCATCAGCTTCAAGGTTAATTTTAAAAAAACTACAGCTAACTTTGATATTCAAATAATAAATATACGTGAAAAAACAGTTTTGAGTTAATGCTGCTCCTATATTAATACACAGTGTGTTAAGAATCATAATTAAATAAATTTAGATTCGTTTGATATGCTATTGCCAATTTTCTGTAAAGCTAATTCACATTTTTTTTAAAACTTTGCAAAATTTGTCTCTGAAATTTTACCACGGAAATTTTTAATAATAAAAAATCATACAAAAAATTATACCAGTTTGTAGTGAAAGTTCTGGAGATTATATATATAAACCTTCATACTTCCAGATTTTCTAGAATTTTGTCAATTGGAAATAAAAGGGATTTGATTATTTTGAAAAAAAAAACAATTCAATGTGTAAATTTCTTTAATAATTGCTCTAAAGCCTACATAGTAACATGCTTCAAAAATTTCATGTTATAATCTAAGATCTTCCGATTCTCTGATATAATTTTCATCATATAAGTTTGACTACTTTTTTATTAAAAACAATATTTTTACTAACTGCCGTTTTTTTCTTAACACTCTGTATTTAATTCTTTATGTCAAATATTTTTGGCTTAGAAATCGTACCCACATTGCATAGTAATATTTTGAGATGTTGTTCTTTAAAGCTTCAAGAACAATAGTAAACTCCTTGAAATGTGGGTCATTTCACAGATACGCACACAAATGATTGTAATATCAAAGTTTCCTCAAAATAAACATCTTTTTCAACGAACAATTAACCAGGAGTTTTGTGCTTTTTCCAGAACTTTGCTCTTACTAATGGCATGGCATTGTCCGCATCTAGTGTTTAAACAATGATGCATCTCGGTGGACACATGTTCAAAGCTATTTATGTTGGTAATGTATAGTTGTTTCGATTCATTGAATATTAATATGTCAAGGAATTTCCGTGTTACCTGAATAAATATCCGCAATCACTAAATTGTTCTAAACACATAATAATAAATAAAATGCAAAGCCATCATAATTTACAGCCTCCAAAGAAAAGAAACTTTTCAGATAATCAGAATGATGATGGTAATAGCAATAACAGTAATAAAGAACACCTTAGTAAAAAAGCAACGAAAAAAATTTTTAGTCAAGAAGCTACTCTTCAAATTGAGCATATAGTAACTGACACATTTCAAGAAGAATCAACAAGAGAAGTTGCACCCTCTACTAGTGATTTATTAAAAGAACAGAAAATGCCTTTGGTTTTAAGACACGAGGTTACTTACTATAATATTATTATTATTTACAACAATTAAAACTGAACTAATCCAGACTTGAAATTGAAAAGGTAAGACACCAAGTAGCAATACCTCTAAATTACGTATACATACCCATTTCTCAACACACAAGGTCAAATGAACCAGCTCGAATATACCCATTCAAGCTTGATCCATTCCAAGAATACGCGATTTCTTGTATAGAACGTTCAGAATCTGTTTTAGTGAGTGCTCATACTTATGCTGGTAAAACAGTTGTAGCGGAATATGCCATTGCTCAAAGTTTAAAGAGTAAACGAAAAGTCATATACACTACTCCAATCAAAGTAAATTTCGAAAAAATATATGACTTGCAATATTGATTAATTGATTGACTAATTAATTACTGAGCATAATAAATATATGTACATATTGTAGACATTAAGTAATCAGAAATATAGAGAATTACAACATGAATTTAAAGATGTTGGTTTGATGACTGGCGATGTTACTCTTAATCGAAACTCTAGTTGTATAGTAATGACAACTGAAGTATGTTTTTCTTAGACTAGAATAATCAATTAGTTACTTGATCAATTAGTCAATAACTTAATATTATAAATCATTAGATATTACGCGGTATGTTGTATCGAGGAAGTGAAATGCTAGATGAAGTAGCTTGGGTTATATTTGACGAAATACATTATATGAAAGATAAAGGTAAATACGAGATAAAAACGATTCAACAATAGAATATACAAGTAATTTAATAATTAATAATTCTTTGAAGATCGCGGTGTTGTATTAGAAGAAACTATCATATTGTTACCGCATAGCATTCACACTGTATTTTTATCTGCCATAATTTCAAATTCAATGGAGTTTGCTGAATGGATTTGCAAAACACATCATCAGGTTATTATTGTTTTTATTAAAACTTTTTTTCTTGATAAATAATTATTAAATCTTTTCAATATAAATAAATATAAATATATTATGATGGTGAATTAGCCATGTCATGTTGTTTATACAGATTTTCGTCCCACACCTTTGCAGCATTATATTTATATTGATCATTCAAATGAAATTTGCTTACTGGTTGATGAAAAAGGCACATTTTATGAAAATGCTTTCCGGAAAAAAAGTAGAGAACCTTTCAATGCAGAACCAAAAAATTCTGATAATACCAAATCAAGAAGAAGTAAATTTAATATATTTAATATTAATATGGTTATTGATTTGTATTCATTTATCATTATATTATTAACAATGCTGCAATTATTAATTTAGATAATGTTCATTCGATGATAAAGGCCTGTATAAGTTCTAATCTTGATCCAATTATTGCATTTGCATTTTCAAATAAGGAATGCAATAATTTGGCAATACAATTGAATAAAATGGATTTTAATAATGGCAAGTAATAATTATACATATATTATTAGTAATTAACAAATTTAAACTATTAATTCATCATTTATCAATCAACTATCACATTAGATGATGAAAAAGAATTGATAACTAAAGTTGTGGACAATGCTATGGATTTGTTAGCTGAGGAGGATCGTCAATTAAAATCAATACATGATTTATTGTCATTGTTAAAATGTGGTATCGGCATTTATCATTCAGAATTATTACCTTTTTTGAAAGAAGTGGTCGAGCTTTTATTTCAAGAAGGCCTGATTAAAGTGTTATTTACCACCAAAGCATTTTCAATTGGGTTAAATAAGCCTGCAAAAACTGTTGTTTTTTGTGATTTGACAAAATTTTATGGGTCAACAAATAGAAATGTATGTTGATTTTTTTTGTTGCGCTTTATCTTTGCCTAAAAATTGTACATTAATGTTTATATACAAATTTTATAGCCAACATCCGGAGAATACATTCAAATGTCTGGTCAAGCTGGTAGAAGAGGTATTGATGATCGTGGCCATGTAATAATGGGCCTTGGTAGTAAATATCATTTGACTAAGGATATGATTAAGGTATATTTAAAATTTTTTTTTTATAAATTTGCCAAAAATTTTTTTTTAGATACCAACAATTAATTATTTTTTCTTTATTGTGATAATTAGGGAGAACCTAATTCTTTATTATCAGCATTTCATTTAAAATATCATATGATATTAAATATGTCAATAATTGAAGGTATAAGTCCTGAATATATGTTAAAAAATAGTTTTTATCAATTTCAAAATACCTTACCAATTTCTCAACTACAAGCAGGTATCTATTTAATCATTATAGCCAACTTAATCACGTCAAATTCAACTAAACAATATAATAATTTCATAATTTCATAATAATATTATCTTGATTTTTATAGAATTGAAAAAAGTACAAGGAAAAATAAAAGAGCATAAAATAGAGAATGAAGAATCAGTAGCACAATATTATTCATTTGTTAAACTTAAAGAGGAAATTACTGGCGAGTTTAATGGATACATCACAAGTCCAAAACACTGTATGAGATTTTTAACTCCAGGTAGATTGGTATGGGTGAAATATGATGATATGGATTTTGGTTGGAATATGGTCATTAAATGTGAAGAGATAATAAATCCTGGAAAAGCAACTCATAAAGTAAAAGTGTTGTTGCACTGCTCTAATAATTCATTTGTGAATAGTGAAAGAGTTGATGTCAAGCCATGCCCAGTAAGCTTAAATGATGGTGTTATGCTGGTAATATAAAACTGAATCTTCATTACTTTAATTATTAATAATTTAATTTTGCAAAGTTGTTATTATTGAAGAAACATATTTATTTAATTAATTTTTAAATTTTTTTTTCAAAAAAATTTAAAGGTTGTTCCAATAAAACTTAAAGATATACAAAAAATCAGTCAAATATGCCTTCATGCGGGTGAAAATATCGAGCATGAACATCATCTAATGCATTTAGCTTATGAAACTATTAATGATATTCTTTCAAAACATCCGACTGGTGTGCCATTAGATCCAATAGTACATATGGATATCAGAAATGAAAATTTTAAATTTTTATATCATGCAAGTAATAAATAAATATATTACTTTCTCTATTCATTAGATTTTTAAAATTAATATCAACATTTGTCACCTCATTCTTAGAAAATGAGATTAATTGAAGAGAATATTAATAAACATCCAATTAATCAAGATCCATTAATAATAGAACAATATACCAAAAGATTGAATTTAGTAGAACAGAGTAAAACATTAAAAAGCAGAATTCGCAAAGCAGAATCAGTTCTTCAATTTGATGAACTTAAAAAAAGAAGACGTTTATTACGGAGAATGGGTTACTTGTCAGAAAATAATATGGTTGAGCTCAAGGGTAGAATAGCATGTGGAATTAAATCAGGTGATGAAATAGTTTTAACCGAGTTATTGTTGAATGATGTTTTCAATAGTTTGTCAGCTGAAATGACTGCTGCGCTACTTAGTTGTTTTATAATTGATGAAATATCGGATGGAAGGAATGCTATAATTCAAGAATTCATAGAACCATATAATCAAATTTTAGAGACAGCTAGAATTGTAGCTGAGATTACTGAAGAGTGTGATATTGCTATTGATAAAGAAAAATATATAGCAAAATTTTCACCTAGGTTGATGAAAAGTGTGTATGCTTGGTGTAATGTAAGTAAATTTGGATTTTTTTCATAATTTCTCTCTTTTATATATTTTCACTTTTATTTACATTTTTGTCAAATTATTATTATTACTTTCAAATTAATTTTAGCATGCAACGTTTCCAGAAACGTGTAAAAAAGGAAAAATGCAAGAGGGAGATATTGCTAGAAATTTTGAAAACTTGGATGAATTATTACAAGAAATGGTTTCAGCAGCCAAGTGTATAGGAAACATTGAATTGGAAAACAAATTTTCCTTGTCGATTGAAAAAATCAAAAAGGGAATAATGTTTACAGCATCATTATACCATTAAATTAATAATTAACAGATGAATATTTGATTGATTGCTTTATAAAATATATATTTAATTAGCTAATTAATAAAATCAATTAACCAGAATGAAAAGTAAACAGTCCTTTTTTTTTCTTTGCTATGACCCTTGCAACAACAATCATCCAAAAATAAAAAAAGAAAGTGTTTGAACACCATAACAAATGTTTTATGTGATTTAGAATAAATTGATTTTCATTTAACACCACAATTAACTCTTAAATTTTATTTATAATCAATCCTATATTACTATCCGATCATTGTCACCAACATTTACTCCCGGATTATTATAATTGAGGTAACATCCAGGCTATTAGTAAGTTTTGGAAAACTTTACTCAAAATTTTACCCTTTTAAGCATGTAACTTCATATATAACCATTGAAAAAATTATCCAATATATTTTATCTAAAGAACTATATTAATATAACTGTTATGTTCTTCACTAATTCTTAATAAACCCATATCTAAATCTATAACGATAGTGATAATGATAACAATAAATTATATAAATCAAATATTCAGAATGACCAATTAATTATGATTAATGACAACAATAATCATCCAATTCCAAGAGCTCTAAAATAATTATTCATAAAATAATTCTCCCATCTGGTGAAAAAATCAATAAAACTTATCTGTTAAATGATAATTAAATTATTAAATGAAAAGTTATAAATTAACATGATATCACTTGCAATCTCTAATTCACAACTTAGTTTCCACATGAATATTTAAAATTTTATTTATATCAATAGATTAATGTTCTAAAAGTTATTTATTTTGCCTTATTAATTAATATATACTTTCATAATCTTCAACACTAATTCTAAGATTTAAATAAATTTTAAGAATCTTTCAATAAATCATTTTGAGTTTTTTTAGTGTAACAAGGTTTACAAAAGTACAAGTCAGAGATGATCCGGTTATTTGTTGATCTATTTTGCTATTTCATTGTTATATGAATGAGGCTTATATTAATTATATTAAATATCAATTATGAGAAGAATTGAATTGTGTTGTTCATTCGTTTCATTAAAAACCAAATTTTCATTTTTTGGGATTATTTATTATTCATAAGAATTTTAAATCTACGTACGTACATCCAACATCTACTTCCAATCGTCAAATTTACATTTCATATCACACATCTCAAACAACACACAAAATGCCATCAGGAAATACTTCAACGGATTCCACCAAAGCATTCATAAATCTCACGAATCGTAGTTCAAGTAGTAGTATAAATGAAGAATCTGAAATTATAAATGATTCGTCAGATCATGATATTACTCGCGGCTTGATTTATAATTTTGGAGAGATTAGTGATGAGTTAATTAAAGCTGAAATAGATACTGGAGATGTACAAAATAAATTTTCATGGTCAAAGTTATGGAAATATACCGGTCCTGGTAAATATATATATCTGTGAGAGTGTGTGAAGATTTTTTTATTGAAAATATTTAATGGATTAGAAAAATAATTAGATTTATTTTATAAATATTTAAAATATAATATTATAATATTTAATTACATGATATAGGATTTTTAATGTCTATAGCATATCTTGATCCTGGGAATTTAGAAGCCGATCTTCAAACAGGTGCAGTTGCAGGTTATTCCTTGGTAAGTATTAATAATAATAATAATTGATTTTTTTTTTCTAATGAAAGTTCCAATTACTCAAATTTAATTTAATCAAATAATTACAAATATCCATTTACACAGCTCTGGCTTTTACTGTATGCTCATATAGCTGGTTTGCTGATACAATGTTTATCAGCCAGAGTTGGTGTAGTAACAGGGATGCATTTAGCTCAATTAATAAAAAAATATTATTCACGTCCTATCTCAACAATACTTTGGATAATAACCGAGATAGCTATTATTGGTTCCGACATACAAGAGATAGTTGGTACTGCAATAGCATTAAAAATTATTTTTGGATTACCTTTATGGGTTGGTACATTGTTGACTGCAATGGACACTTTCACTTTCATGCTATTACAAAATTATGGTGTCAGGAAATTAGAAGCCTTCTTCATGCTCTTAATTGGCTTGATGGCTGCTTGTTTTTGGATAGAAATGTTCAAGAGCGATCCTGATGTTGGTGGAATAATAACTGGAATGTTATTGCCTTCTGTTCCTTCTACTGCTGTTATACAAGCTGTTGCAATGATTGGCGCTGGTAATTATTATTTGTTTTTACAAGGGAAAATCTATTCTATTTTTCAAAAGTTATTTTTGTTAAAAAAAAATTAATATATATTATTATTATTATTATAGTCATTATGCCACATAATTTATATCTTCATTCTGCATTAGGTATGTAACTTTAATATAATATACGCCTATTGTTGTATGTAAAATTCTATAATATGAATGGTGATTCTGACTAGCTCATTTGAATCCCACACATGTTCAATTTTAAATTCCCACAAATTTCAAATTCACGCACATTATAATATATATTGATTTAATTTATTTATTTATTATTATTATTATTATTATTAAAAAATAGTGATGACTCGTAAGACAGATCCAAGCTCTAAAGCAAAACTTAAAGAAGCAAATTTTTATTTTGCAATAGAAAGTGGCATTGCATTGCTTTGTTCATATTTGATAAATATGGCCATTGTTGTTGTTTTTGGTACAATTTTCTACAAACCAGGTGATGACTCGCCTCATCTACCAGGTTTATATGATGCTGCTGATGCTTTGACTAAAACTTTGGGTAAAGGTGCAAGATATCTTTGGGCATTTGGTTTATTGGCTGCTGGCCAAAGTTCTACCATGACTGGTACTTTGGCTGGTCAATATGTGATGGAGGGATTTTTTGGTAAAATTTTTACAAATCCTTGGCAACGTGTTGCCGTAACTCGTGGAATTGCTTTAGTACCATCAATGATGGTTGCTGTTCTTGCTGTAAGTAGGATTAAAATTTTTTTTTTATATTTTTATTATTTTAAGGGAAATAAAATAAATTCACACTTTTTTTTTTCCCATTAGGTTGAAAATTTTGATACAATGGGTGAATTTTTAAATGTACTTCAAAGTTTGTGCTTGCCAACTGCTCTGATTCCAATTTTAAAGATTATAAGTTCTAAAAATATAATGGGTAAAAGTTTTCAAGCTAATTACTTTTGGAGAATTGTTTCTTGGTTACTGGCTTCAATTATTGTTTGTTTCAATCTTTTCCTTTTCTTGGCTTATCTAGAAGAACTACCCAATTTGTATGTTGGTTATGTTCTTGGTGTTATTTATTTTGTTTTTGTGATATATCTTGCTTTATTACCATTAAATGATAATGATAATAATTTTGAAAATAAAAATATTGATATTGATCATTTGGAAAGTTAAAAAGTTCTCAGTGATGAAATAAATTATTTAAATGTTATAATTTTGGAAGAAATAAATGCATGCTTTTCCAATATTGGTTTGTAAACTTGTAAATTTAAAGACTAATTCAACTTTGACAAAAAAACGGCAATCAAAACCAACACACCCTACAATTTTGATTATTTTATAATTCTCTCTCCCAAGGTTTATTCTTGGGATTAAAAAAAGATTGTGAGCACTTAAATAAGTTGTTTACATCATTAGTATTAATTGCTATACTATAAAATGCTATTATTATCAATAGAAATATGAAGGTTACTCGTCATTTTTTCTCTAAAATTATAAATTTCTCTGATAATCACCTTGGTAATGTTTTTTAAGGCACATATATACACAACTTTTTGTAATAGCTTACTAAGGATACATAATTGAAACAATTGTAATGACAAATGACTGCCCAATAATATTGATCATTCGGAATTTGGCATTTAGATCATTTGTGAAATGACAGATGCCAAATTATCATACCACACGACTCCAAATCTAATAAATGGTCAAATGACAAGGCCATTTCCGAACACATTATGATTTTTTTGAAACACAAAATTGTTATTTTGCCATTAAACAAACATAATATCATTGATTGTTTACAAAAATCAGTTCAATTAATTAAAATTGTGACAACTCATCATATTGATTATTATTATGGACCAGACTTGACTTTATATCAAGAAAACTTCATTTAACAAAAAATGAAGAATGGTATGATTCTAAATATTCTTGGCAGTTGTAAAAAATAAAGATGAAATAAGTCCTGATCATTTCTTTCGATGGAAAAGAATAAAAGAATAATTTTCCTGAATTCATAGATGGTATTATGTGTGAACCTGCAAGAAATAAATAAAATTATATCAAGCTTTCTAAGAAAAATAAGTATAGATTATACTGCGAGAATACAGGAAAATTTTATTTATATAATTATAAGATCGCATTTATTTAATTATCTTTATTATTAAACAGTAATCTCATTATTTTTAATAGTACTGTTATCGATTTCATTATCTTTAATAACGCTTTTATCGATCTCGTCATCTTTATTAGTGCCCTCATCGATCAAATTTTTATTTTTAGATCTATTTTTTCTTTTATAATTATATAAAACAAGAATAGAAATAGAAATGACAAGGATTACACAGGATATAACTAATCCCAGAACCATTGTTAGCCTTTTGCTTTCACTTGAAGATTCTCCACTTTCTGCATTAGTGGTAGTGGTGACGACTGGGGTTGGAGCCTGTTCAGTTGTTGTTGGAATCTCAAACGTGTCTGCCCATTTATAATTATTTTTGTCGCTGATGTCTAATAATGAAATATTTCGGTAAGGATCGCTACCTCCTTTATCAGTATCCATCCAACCTATTATTATAATATAATAAATAAATAATACATTTACGGATGGATTTGAAAAAAATAATATATGTAAGTCGTTACCAAATGAAATGATCATGTAAGATTCATGCAAATTTGAAGTATGCCATCTATGTGTTTTATTGAATAGATTGGCAGGATAAATAATATTTGGAACTGTCCATTGAAAAGGGAATTTTGTTGTATCTAATATTGCTAATTTGTCCGGGTTTGAAGTACCACCATACACAATTATCCTTCCATCAGGCGCTAAAAATAAATAAATATTAAAAAAAAATAATATTTTAATTGAACAATCATACTTGTAAAAAAAATATCTACCCAATACTGAAGAATGTCCATATCGTGTAGAAGGTTTATCACCAGTTGTTGTCTAAATCAACAGAATATTTATTAGTTAAAGATATTATTATTGATTATTATATAACCTACCATGTTAGACCACGAATTGGCCTTTATATTGTATGAGGATAGCTATATATATATATATATATATTATTAGAAAATACAATATTTATTTTATTTAATTAAATAATAAAAATTAAAATCATAGTGTTACTGTAGTCATATCATCTCCAAAATAAATTATATTTTCATCACTCAACAAATGGCAATTGAAATGGTATGGAGAGATAGGTATGCCACTATTGATTGGTGTTAGGGTTGTAAGCGTCAAATTTTTATTGGCAAATTTATATATATTTGGATCAAGGGAGGCAACTATATATGTGTTTCCATCACTATCTTGTGTGTATAGTGTTTCGCCAGCATTAATTAATTGTGATTGTCCATCAAGGTTCACTGGAATCCATGTATCAAACGAGTTTGTATTTATTGAATAAACTATGTTTCCGTATGCTTGAGTATTAGGAGCAACGTTTCTAGAACCAGCCATAACATAAATTGTATTATTATCAACTCCCAATGCCAGTGTTGCGCTATTAAATGGTGGCATTACAGTTTTTGGAGCAATTTGCTTTATTGGTAATGATTGATTGAGTGAAAATGATGTGGATAAATCTAGGTAAATTATTTGGCTTGATGCACCAGTAATAAAAGAATATCCTCCAAAAAAATAGAGTTTATTATTCAATATAATTGAAGCATGACTTGATATATCTAATAATTGACCGGAAACTAAATGATTGAAATTATCCAAATATATTAAATTGAAAATTATTAACAATATCAAATTGTGATAATTTACCATTTTAAATTTTAGTAAATCAATTACAAAATTAAAATGAATAAATTAATATTAAATAAAAAAAGAACGAAAATTAAATAACGAAAATCAAATAAAAAAAAATAAAAAAAAATAAATCGCGAAAATTAAATAAAAAAGTTAAATGGATAAATTACGAAAATTGGTGGCATTTAAATAAATTACGAAAATTAATCATTATCAAGGGAATTTAATATTAAATAGTAAAAACATGTTTGCTGGAAAACCTATTCTTATTGTTATCGTTATTATGATCTTTATTATTATTGTCATCGTTATTATTATTATATTCTATATAATACTAAACGGGGATAATCTATTTTTAAATTACTATTCAGTATAAAAAAGGAAATTGATTCACGTAAAACAAAATTTTATTTTTCCCGTAAATCCTTTTTCACACATAATTATCTCTCGCCGATTTCAAAAAAAAAGAATTGGCGATCTGCTTATGCGCTAAATCTCGAAGGAGATTAATATTAATATTAGTATATATTAATATATTAAACAAATTCCGTCACACAGTAACGTGAATGCTAGTTTATTAAGTCGGAGCGGAACATAATTGTGTAAAAAGGATCATGAACAAGGTATGTATCTAGGTTAGTGTTAGGAGCCAAAACTATTTTGAAGAAGCGAAAGTCAAAATTAAAATTAAATTAAAAGTCAAGAGTCTGACTTTTGCACAATTGTAACAATCAAAGAAAAAATTACCAAGGACAAGTTGCGCTCTCTTTCAAAAAATTCTACAATTTATAAAGCAGTTTTAGGCTCGTTTAGCAATTTGGTTTGATAAACTAGTAGATTTTTACACCGCTGCGACATATTATGAGCTAGTTTATCGTCCTACGGGGTAGGTAGATAGATTCAGGATATATATTTCATATATATTGCGTGCTTGACATTCATTTTAATAAATTAATTTGTATCCTATGACATTCAATCTTTAAGTGTTAAATTAATTTGCATTGATGACATTTTAGTCTGTAAATGATATATAGATCAATTTGTGTTTATAACGTTGTATTTATATTACCATATTCAAACGTTACACTCACTCAATTTTGGATTGAATGAATAATAATAACTGAATAATATGAATACAAACATACTGCGGGACAGATATAGGATATATGCATGTTAATTTGTCCATGGTCTTGATTAATTTATCAAATAAAATGCTTGTTTCCATCCATCCTAAATTGTTAAATGATCGATTGAAGAATGAAAGCAGAGTTCGACGAAATTATTGGGGGTTTTTTTTTCGTTGTTTTGATCCTTACTAAACACCACTAACACTACCATCATAATCACAATGACAATGAAGATAACACAGGAGAAGGTAACAGCAACAAAGATAACAATAACAATGAAGACAACAAACAACGCAAATTAGAATTTTGGCACAAGCTTTGAATTTGCATACAAGTTTAAATTTTAATCTGATTTTTTCATATCAGCCAATTTGATTTTTTAGACCCTTTTTTCGGACCTTATTATTATGTCTTATTGTGTCTCGACGTTAAACAAGTATTTTTAATATGTAAACTGGTCAGTAGAATGATAATTAACCCCAAAAAAATTTATTTGCTCTACTAAAAAAAATATTTTACTATTCAACAGCTCGTCAAACCAATGGGTTTTTGCTGTTAAAAAGTATTCATAACGTTATTATCATACCGTACTGAATTTTGGGTTCAAAAAAATCAGCGCATATGTAAATATAAATAGACAAGTATTTGATTTTGTTTCTTGAAAATTTATTATTAAAAAAAAACTCTTAAAAATAATAATTATTAATAAATTGTTGCCTTAAATCAAAAAATTCTACTCTATTTGGATCTTAGAGTTATACATTATGGTACATTTGCATAATATTGACGGTGTAGCAAAAAAGGCTCATCTACAAGACAGTGAAATTTTGTCCCGATAGACTGCATTTAAAATTGTACTATAATAATAATAAAGCAGAATTCTATACATCTAACATGGAAGAAAAAAATAATAAACTTGAAACGGGTCTGATTCATTTCGTCGACAATCATTTCGTCGAAAGTTCATTTCATCAAAAGTTTATTTCGTCGAAAGTTCATTTCGTCGAAAATTATTTCGTCGACAATCATTTCGTCGACAATCACTTCATCGACAATTATTTCATTGACAACCATTTTGTCGAAAGTTCATTTCGTCGAAAAGTTCATTTTTACAACAATTCATGTTAATTTGCATGTATTACCAATTATGTTTGGGAGAGCGTGAATTAATTCATGATAACAATTGT